CAATAACAGGTTAGAGGCTTTCAGAGGGTGGAAAACAACTACCCACAGTTCAAAGCCATGTTTGTAATGTACTTGGCATAAAGACAGTGCTCTTAACTTACTGCATACCAGTTGTCAGAACCCTTCTGAGCCTGGCTTTTTACACTGGCCTGACATAGAACCATGTCCTCCTGTATACACAGTGGCAGCCAGCTGGTTTATATACACTATTTTTAACTATTCACATAAAATTCAGTCATTAATTGACGGGACATACAACTTTAAATGTGTCTGAGTTCAGTACAACTTTAATTTAACACCTTTATGTTTTATTCCCCTGTGGTTATCATACATACTACATATTAGCGCTCTCTTTCTCAAGCAGGAGTAATGTTACTTCGTTAATGAGCGACAAATTAAACATGGGCAGCCTTATCATGGCGGTAGACAGGGTTTCCATGTTGTAGAACTTTTTCCAGTAGGCCTGTCATTCCTTTGAGTTGTGTGTGGAAATGAACCGTGAGTTAACTTTACAGAACATCCAAACTGTACCAAAAGTTCGACATTATTATCGAAAAAAGCTCTGGCCAGCCGTCTGCTTGCTTGTTGCTAGCAGTACCAGCCTACAAGAGCTAACAGTGAGCTTTATGAAGGCAGAGTTTCGGTCTGCTGTAACTTGAGTTGAAACACGGAGACATGGAAGCGCAGTTTACTCACCGAAAAAGCCGACCAGATACAGCAGCAAAACGATATTCAGGTGGGTATTCCCATGGCGCGGTCGACGCATTTTACAGTGTGAGAAGGGATTTACTCGAAAGACGATTAAAAAAAAAAAAGTCAAAGTTGCGTCAAAGCTCCGGTAAAATTCCGTCCATAGTCTATTTGGTCATGACTCAGTGTCTCCGTGGCGTCAGCAGCAGACTGCGGGCTGACTGTCTACCTGACAAACAGGTGTATCAGGAAGTGGAGCTGTAGGATCAGTGGGAGCAAAACAACACAGCTCTTTCAAGTTGAAATTAAGTGAAACCACCCGATGAAAGATGGAAAACGATTATTGTACGACTAGTTTGTAGTGGCAGTGTGCTTATAATTAAAACGTTGGGAGGTTATCGCACTGTATATTTCTACCAAATACTTGTACATAAGTTACTGTAAAGAGACTCATATTTAAAAGGGACTGGAGTGTAACAATAGACTCATTTTTGAAACATCACAGCCAGTTGTCATTGGAGTATGTAATAAGTCCTAATGGAGCCACTGAGGAAACTGTAGTAATAATAGTCCTGTTTTTTTAGGTCATTAGGCTACAGCTAAATTCATTTTAATGACATTGTCAGGAGCTGTACATGTGGTAAAATAATAGTAATAATAACTCTTCTCAGAATAAAGTGGCAAAGCGTTTTTGTATGTGTGAATTAAGTTATGATTGAAGATAGTGATACTTCAACTTCTAGATAATGATGTTGATGATGAGCGTGAGACTGTGGAGCCAAAGTGAAACTATATTAAAGTATAATACTTTCTCTTTGCACATCTCCCTCCGCTCACATGACCCCTCTGTGTGGAGGCCTGAGGCCCAGTCCTCCCATTATCTCCCCAGCCGGTCTCTGTATAAAACCATAGACGCTCTAGTGGGACTCCCCTGCTATTTCTAGGCATATTACTCTACTATCCCTGTCCCCGATCTCCTGTCTTTACTGTTGTAATTAACTCTAATGGGAGAAGGTATTTGTTTTTCTAGCCTTTGCGAGTTCACTTTGGTGTAATGCATTATCTCTCCACTATGTGTTTATACAGAGTCCTTTTGAAGTTTATTTTTGCTTTTATTTGGTCTGGAGGATTGTCAGTTCCATCCTTACATCCATCTGGTCTGCCAGGAGCGTTTCCTCCGTTCTGACAACAGAGATGCTGTAGACGTGTTGCATAACCTCATTTCATTTCATGACACATCAGAGGATATCGAATGAGAGCAGCAGCATCCTTTTATTACTCTGGGCCTTGCTCCCTCAAATACACAGTGTATGTATCAGATGTGTGTCTAATCTGATTCAGAATTACAAACTATAACACTGGATATTTTATTTGGAGTTGAATACTTAACAGCATGGTGCCACAGGAGAAAAAAAAAACAAATTTCTAAGTAAATAATCCCTTGTGCAAAAACTAATTTGATGTAGAGTTAATGAGTTTGAGGGAAATGCTTGTTCCTTCTTAAACATTGCACACTAACTTGATTAAAATGAAAAAGCGGCTGTGCCTAGAGGCTAGTAGGGGAGTGTGAAAAGTAGGATTATCATACAATAAATAGAAATTGCTCTATGGGAATCACTGTATAACTAACTTCTAATTTACTACAGTCAATGTGAAAGTGATTCCCATGAGAAAGGGTCAGGACAGCGAGATTCAGGTGAAAGCAATGTTTTATCACTTTTTACCACATGATGCACACATCATGTTTGGCTCGTAATTGCAAAATCTCTGTCGATGCCCGCTCTGATGTGAGATAAAGATGTAGAGCCAGGCACCCGCTTGCTCCTCCCTGCATCCATTCACAAGCACAGTGTTTGTATTGTATCTGTTAACAATGTTATGTAACAGTTCCCACTCTGGGGCAGGGATACCGCTTCTTGGATAATAGATGCTGAGTTACAGGACTTGCCTTACCTGGGAGCATTCACCACTTTTGCGTTCCACAGAATCCGATTGTATTAACTATACTATATAATCTGCCTGAGTTTGACAGAGTCTCCCCATCCTCTGTTGGAAGATAGAGTCTTATGCCTCTTACCTGGGTATACTCTCACACACACACCATTGCATTGTGTCGTGCATTGTGTGTGAACACAGGGGCTCTCTGTCTGGTTACAGTAGTGTGGTCTCAGTTTCGGCTGAAATCGTCTCAGTCACAATGAAGGCTCTCCCCACTTACTGGCTTTCTGGCGACTCTGGTCAACAAGAGACCTGTTCTTCTGTTGTCAACACTGTAGGGGACTAATAAAGGTGGTTTAAATTGTTGGGGCCAGACGGTGTATGTAACCATTATCCTTTAGCCTAAAACATGAGAGTCCTTCTGCCTTTTCATCAGTTTATGTGCACTCCATGCACTGAATAGTTGATGAAAGTTGTGTCTGCTGCACTCCAATAGATTTGATGTACTTTAAAGGCTTCACATGCAGAGAAACTTTTCTCCGGCCTTTCACAAACAAGTATGACAGCATTACTCATTAGCCTCAGTGGCTATAGGAGGCCCTCCTCTATACAGTACACTGAGGCAAATAAAGCTGACTCTCCACCTTCAGACTGAATGGATTAACTGCAGTGTTTGAGTGCATATGTGGGTGTGTGTATGTGTGTAGGCACATGTTGAAAACTACAGTCATCAACATAAGTCACAGTGTGACATTCAGTCGTATACTTACATACCAGTGAGCTGATTTGTTTTCTGTTTCTGTCGTGCCAAGCCTGTGTGTGTGTTTGTGTGTGTTTGTGTGTTCCTATGTGAGTAGGAATTCAGTATTGCGCCAGGTACAAGCCATCCTGAGGTGTGGAATGCAGGCTGAAAAGAGAGATGAAGATAACCAAGTAGGAGAGAGAGTAAGAAGGACATATCTTATCTTTGGTAAATGTTTCCCCGCTCTTCCTTTTTAAAACATTTTGCCTATTCTTTATAGAAATGATTTACGTGTGTTGCAACAATGAACATATTGTGGTAGAAGATTTCTTATGAAATGAGTCATGAGCAAGGAATTGTTGAGAACACCTCTCCCAGGAGTTTGGCGCACATTACCTGCTTACATCCTGTAGGCACAACAATAAGACAGATGACGAGACAAAAACCCTACTGGACTCAAGCAGAAAATTCTTCAATCAATGATTTCAACATTCAATATGTTCCTTTTTTTATTTGCTAAAGTGCCAAAGCCATCATCAGGACAAAGTGTAGGTGTTGGGAACAACAGCAGCAAATGTCAGTGTTGAATGTTTAATTTATGTCCTTTCCCTCAATATGCACTCCTACATTCTGCTTTTTGGCAACCACAAGAGGACGGGCATGAACTTGCTGCACGCAGATGTGGTTCTGTTTGTGTGTCTGGGTGGAGAGAGTGATGGCAACAGTCATATTCTTCACTCAGAATGCAAAGTGTTCTGTGTGCACTGCATTTTGGTCTGTTCAGGATGCTGTTGCTGCAGAAAATAGCATACCTGCTTTTCTTACAACAGAATGGAAAGTTTAAGATTTAAGTCTGACATGCTCTGTTCTATTGTCTGAATTAACAGTGACAGGCTTTAGTAATCGCTTATATAAATAAGCCCTGAACACCACCCACGGTTGATTACTGAAGTGGCAGAATTATTTGGTGACCAGTGAGTAATTAACACAAGCTTTGGTGATACAAATGAGATTATCTGGAGACTCCACTGTTGTTTTATCAGTTCAACACTAGTGGCCTTTCTCTATAACAAAATGTAATTATTTAGCTTGGATAAACACACTCCTCCCGCCCACCCTATCCCTCTTTTTAGTGTTTGTAAACCCCGCTCTGCCCCCGACTACACACACTCACACACAGAGACACTTAAGGTTTGTCAGTCAGTAACTAAAGCTGCACCCACTGGGACAGACTTTGATCAATGCACACAAATAGGCGCACACACACACACACGTACACAAAGGTAGAGTAACATATTCATAGTCATGAACAATCTTATCCAACAAACAAGCAAACCGACTGAAGTCACAGAGGCAGGCATAAGCATATTGGACCTACAACAAATTAAACAAGGATTCACTGCAGCAGTGCTTACAGGTAAACAAGTGAAGGGCTCTGCAGACAGACTCACCATAAACACACAACTGAAGGCAGTGCATTAAAGATAATGATGCATAATAAATGATGGATAACAAGATCCCTCTGTTACATAATAGATGAGTTATATCAAATATTGCAAAGTTGTGTGTGATTAGTTTGTTTCAGTGTCAGATCACCTTTGTGTGGTGAAACGTACGTGACACGATGTGGTAACAGTTTAAAGGCGTTTTTATTAGAAAATCTTTCTTAAAAAAGCTCTATAACAAACACATACTGTGACATTTTAAACAACACTGCAAAATACTTCTGGCATTATCTAAAAAATATAGAAAAAAATAAAAATCTATAATCAATATTGCTGTGTTACATCACAAGTACAAAATTCGGTCATTAAAAGGAAGAAAGACAGGTCTTACAATCATTTGTTAGTAGACGTGATGCATTCACAGATGCACACAAAGGAACCAGGCTCTCAAGGACTTTTTCGCAGTCAATGGGTTTTCAGATCTGACTGTGCACTCCCACACAACACGTAGGACAGGCGCGGGCATGCAGCTGCTCGCTATGTGATCAAGTATTTGGCCTTCAGACCTAATGACAGCAACATCACATTTATGCATTTTAATCCCAGTAATCTGATGTGACACAAGCCCCTCAGCCTACAGTTGGAGGATAGAACTGCTTTTAACAAGGGCTCTCACCCTGCAGGTAATATGATGGTGTGCTTGACTGACTGAAATGCGAGACCTACGTTACCCCCTATGACTCTAAAACTAAAATATGAAAGATTACCCAACAAATTCTACATGATTTTGTCCATTAAGTCAACCAGAGAATGGTTCGCAAAAGTCAGGCACCCTCACCCCAAGGTCTTAAAACGGCTCTTTGTGGCAAAAAAAAAATAAAACATTCCTCATTCTGACTGCTTTCAGTTGCATGTTGCAGCTGATTTTAGTATCGACTTCCCACACTCAACAAGATCCACGTCTAAAACAGCAGATAGTTATTGAACAAGAATTGACCCGTTTTCCCTTCTGGACATTAGGATTCATTTTTTTCTCGACTTCAGGATTACAAAGGCTCTCACTTCGGAATCCCTGCAGGTTAAATGCACTATTTCTTGCCTCCTGAGAATTTCCTGGCCCTCTCGAAAGTAACATTACTGCACTTTTGATCCTGTTTCAAAGTCTTGACCTTCATCAAAAGCATCGCTCTAATTTTTACGAACTTTTCCTTTTCTTCTTTCGCTCTCTTCATTTCAATTCCACTCAGCAGAACCATGGACCGTAATCCATGGGTGCCATCTGGGCATCCCTCCAGCGAACTTCCTGGCCAGCTTCACATCAGTGTCTGTCCCCACCTCCTCAGTCAGAGTCGTCACCATCATCCTCGTCCGAGCTCGGGCCCTCCTCCTCTGAGGAGCTCGGGTCTTTGGTGCTGGCCTCTGAGATCATGCCGTCTGAACTGTCAATCTCTATGGACGTCTCTGATAGGTAGAGGTGGACGGCCCTCGATGGGTGGCTGGGACACACACACGCACACACAGCGGGGAGGTAAGAGCAACATAGCACACACACATACACACCGGGATATGAATTCATGCATGACACATGAATTATTTATGTACATGCATGTGCATGAGTCACACACAATGGGGACAGGACAAAGACGAGCAGACAACATGGACACAACAGCAGAGACAAAGGGTTAGCGTCACACAGGGTTAAACTGTCCCAAGTTGAGAGCGAAGGTTGGATCAAAATCTCTGTTTACAAAGCTGCATCAGTTTTTCAGTGAAAGATTCGGTTTGAAGTCTGAATAAATCTGATCGGCCGAGATGACAGCAAGCTTTTCCTTGAGGATACTTGGCTTTTAAAGTCTGGTGCACACAGTGAGCTATCGCAACACAGTTATTTGACAGTTAACCAGTTGCGGTGCCCATTGTAGAGAGATCTGAAAACCCAAGAGAGAAGCAAAGAAGTCCCATGTGCCCAGAAAAAAGATTTTTATGGCAAAACATCTCATTGTTCAAAACAGACAGACTTACTGGTAGAAAAGGATTTGTCACTTTGTCAGTAAAATTTAAAATTGATATTCCATTTAACAGCAAATTGCATCTGCTGGTCAAAATTTACAGAAGTACTGTATGAAATGTCTGTTTCCAACAAGCGCTCTCCATCAGGTTTTGATTATTTGATAGCACCTTGATTATTTCTGCAAGAGTCTCAACATCAGGATAACACCACAGAATTGCAGGAAAAATACAGCAATATAAGTTCAGTAGTGAAACAAAAATAGAAATGTACACCAGCATCCTTAAAATGGATCAGACAGCTGATGTATACGACCATTGAAATGAGGGTTGAAAAGCTTTGTTTGGGGTTGTTTGATCATGTTTTCCATCATCTGATAATAATGGCAAGATTCCAATAGAAGCTAGGTAAGTGCTCATTCATTGTTCCACAGTTTGTTGAAATAATACATCAAACATGTGGTTTGTACTGCATTGCTGTGATGAAATGTATTAGTAGGGAAGTAAACAGCAGGAATACACCATTGTTCTGCCTCTACATCATCAAAACATTTACTCTAAACAGGAAATGTGTTTAGAAGCCCATTTAGCTGAACAGGAAAAGATAAACTGATAAAACAGTGTTTTCTCTCCAGAAATGAAAGACACATAGTGATATAAAATGTACACAGCAGTCTGGCAAGTTCTGTATCTACAGCTCTCTACACAAAGGCACATCCTTAATTTATCTTAATGACAGCTGCCCATCAACTGGTCCACATTTGGTATCCAAAGACTGCGGTTGGAGAGGAAGGTGGAAGTGAAGTGTCCAGTAGGAAAAAAGCCCCAGGCCCCAAGAAGGAGCGCCACATGCCCCGATCCCAGGGTTAGACGGGGAGCGAGAGAGGAAGAATGATTCTTCTGTTCCTCTCTCTATCCCCCTCTTCCTCTCCCTCTGTCCATCTCTTGGTCTTACCACGCAGTGGGGTCTTTTCTCTCTTTGCGAGGAGCCTCCACATTGCCTCCCTGCTCTCTCTGTCTCCCCTTCTTGCACCGCCTGCAGGACACTATGATGATGAGGAGGAAGACTACAGCAGTGATCCCGCCCCCAATGGCCAACGCCAGTAGGAGAAGCTCGGAGAAAGAGGCTGTAGGTGGAGAGGAAAAAAAGGAACGCAGGCTGAGTCTGCTTGTTCGATATAGAAAAGATGACCTCACTGCTCAGAGCCATTTTATTGTGTATCTGTGAGTATATCTGCTATCAGCTGTTATTAATACGAAAGCATATTAAAAACTTTTAGATACTGACTGAAAACAACTACAACAAAGCCCTGACCTTTCTTCTATTGCCACCATGAGGTTAACATTTGTTGATTTGAGGGAAATGTTTTAACTATTGGGAGGATCGCCATGAAATGCTGTACATGATATTCATATGAATGATTTTCCCATCAGCCTCAACTGCACTTTGTGTTTAGTGCTGATCAGAAAATGTTAGCAGTTAAATACGCTAATCAAAAATGGTCAGTATGATGAACATGGTAAACATTATACCTGCTAAATATCAGTATCATTAGCATTTAGCTCTGGCCTAGAACTAGATAACCACTTTGATTTGTTGCTGTTGTTGCTAAAACTATTGTTAAAAAAATAAGTGGGTAGCACCAATCAATAGTTCTGATTGGCTGGGTCATACAGAAAGTCAGAGTAATGTCTATATTAACACATCCTATAATCTGTAATTTAATCATTGATATGATAACTGAATGTCACAGGTTGTATCGTAACCTCTTTTTTTAACTACTGTTCCAAGATAATTACACAAATTTTAGTAATTTTTTTTATTTGAAAATTACCAATGTAATAACCAATAGAATAAAATATGTCTGGAACATTTGCAATCTCTTTAATTAAAATGTTTCAGTGCTATAATATAAAACTCACACCACATCATACAAAACAACATCCATTCTCAAGTTATGAGTTCATTTGAATCCAGTGACCCTGTGGACAAAAGCAGTAGTGTTCCACCGCCTTATTTCATTGATTTCAAGGGGAATTCAAGCTGGAGGCAGGCATTGTTTCATAACCAGTTAAATACTCCTTGTATTGGGTTTGATTAACTTTAGCTTTTCAGCACAAGATGAAATAATATGGATGTTATCAGAGACACAGACAAAACATTTCTGGCATATATATAAATTAAAATGCAGACCTGTGGTAACCACACGGAGTCGAATCTCTCCAACCGTGCCGTGAACATCCGGTGGATTCTTGACCTGGCAAACATAAGTGCCGTTGTAGGTAAACTTGACCTGTTGAAGTATGATGGAGGCGTCACGGCCCATGACGTCACCGGCCCAACTGACACGCTTCCTGAAAATGCCCTCTGGAGGGGGATATGGCTTCTGCTGGTAGTGGAACACCTGAAAGTGGATGGGGAGATTTGATTGCAAGAATAATGGGTTTGATTGGTTGGATTGTCACAGATAGAATGTCATACCAGACTGAGTCTGGGGAAGGAAGCTATTTTATTCTCACACAGAAAGAAAGACAAGACATAAACCCAGACCTGCTGCTACATTTATTACTCCATTCTCAATATGCACACACACACACACACACACACAGAGGCTGTCTTGGACGCTCTGTGGGGAGCCTGATGACTCACCGACTCCTCTCTCAGTTGGCTGAGGGGGTGGATGCTCCTTGACACAATGAGGGAGGTTTGAGGTTTGATCTCATTTTCTTGCAAACACACACACACACACACACACACACACACACACTAACACACACACACACACACAGACAGACAGACAGACAGACACACACAGACAGACACACATGCACTCACCGACTCTTCACGGCCTGGTTTGAGGGGTCTAAAGGTCCAGGAGATGGTGACGGCGTCGGGGTTGATGGGAGAGGAAGTTTGGAATGTGCACTTAAGACGAACATCCGTCCCGTTTACTGCCTCCATATCCCCAGATGTATATATACGGATCCCGCTGACCTGCAGCACGCCTGCAACATACAAACATATGGCACAGTAGCAGAGTTTACTTCAAAAGCAGCGTGCAGGGCACATGGAGCAAAATCTATACATAGATAAATGGTTCATGAAAGCAACACAAATACATAAATACAATGCAACAGACGCGGTATGAATTTCAATTCCTGCTTAGAGAGTGCATGCAGTGTACCCAGTGACCCTCTGCCTACACAGTGCTGCTGCAAGAAAAATCACTAACTCTTAAGTTGTCATTATGGCTGTAGGAAATACATTTATTACAGTATATATACTGAAATCCCACAGATTGGTCTAAATGCTGACAGTACGAAATTAGATCTGCAATCAGTGAGTGAACTGTTTCATTACATCCTGAAAGTCCAAACTGATTTCAGATCAGTGGGCCAAATCTGTGACATTTAATGAATAATAGCCACACTATTGCAGCTGAGACAGGGCTGAAATTGACAGTCTGCTGTATATTATATGGATATGGACTATATCAATCTTTACAGTACGGGGTAGACTATTAGATGGAAAATGAATGGACTGGAAGAGCAGAGAGGGATATTGCCAACGATCTGGCTCTTCCACATAATGATGGATGGAGCACCTCAAAATGGAGTTAATGCTGACACACTGCACACACACATGCATGCACTGTCCTAGAGACATACTTAATGCTGGGTTTCTGTCTGGCAGCCGGTCAACATTACATCAGGAACCAGCCGATCATGTCTCCCTCTCTCCCCGAGATTGAGTCTTGTTATTGAGGCAGATCCACTCTTATTCTAAAGCAGTATGTATGAGTCTAAGTCTCTATGGAAGTTTATGTGCAGGCTGTCTAGTCCAAATCACCTGCTCTATTTATAGAGAGGGAGAGCTCTATATATCCTAATAATATCAGGAGCCGTGTCTAGCCTTATTAAAGTCAATTCCCAAGCCCACAGCAGACTGTAGAGCTAGCAGCCACAGTGAGCTCAGGGTAGCCAAGACTTGTCTTAACATAATTAGCCCACTCCATATGATTACCCTGCAGAACACTTGATGAGACCTCTGGCTATCAGAGACACTTCATTTTGACAGACAAGCTGTCTGTGGCTCAGTGGGTCACCTGAGTGCATGTGTCATCCCAGTTTTATATATGAGGCAATTACTTTTTTGTTAATGCAATCAGCTAGCATCAGGGATACTCTTCTGATGTAAAATGGATAAAATGTAACTAACTCTAGCTGTCGAGTATTAGAAAAGATTGTACAATACTTTCACAGTATGGGTTTAAAGAATTTTAAATCCTAAAATGGTGGATTAAGCTCCATTCTACAATTGAAAATTTATTAAATGACTTGAGGCACCAGGCTTAGAAATAAGTCCAGCAAGGAAAATTGAGCCACACTGTTACCCATACATTATAAATACAGTGAACATTTAGGCTGGAGCTTGCTGGGAAAATGTCAACAGGGGTTTGGCTCCTCAGGCAGCATGTTCTGTTCCTTATCAGGCTGGAGAGAGTTTCCTGTGGGCTGGGATGAGAGAGTGGGGTGACCAGACAGCCCCCGCACAGCATTAAACAGGCAGGCTTCTCTCTCATCACCGGGCACTGACAGCGCTCTAACAGCCTAATGTGTTTTAAATGAGCCCGATGAAACCTGGGAGGAGTGTGTACGGTGGAGCAATACAGACAGAGTACACACTGCAAGAAATGTCTTTGCAAATCGTCAAGGTTTTGGGGTTTTTTTTCAGTTTAAAATTGTATTTTTCTTGAACGAAAAAAATTGTCTTCGCAGTGAGATTGCAGTATATGCTTGTTAGGGGTTTTTCTGCATTAATACCTTAAAAATATGGCAGGTGCTTCAACTTGCATCAATAAATCACTGCTTAAGTCAAGAAAGATGTTACAACAGTTTGGTTTGCAATTCAACAAATCTACCCCACTGGCAGATAGTTTTGCTTGTAAAGAGAAAAATAATGACTTTTAATATTACAGAATAATGCTGTGATGGATGAACCAAGCCTCGTCTGACACTTTCTCTCACTTCCTCGTCTACCTGTCGGTGGAAACACTGATCTTTGTGGATTAAACTGCCTGTGTTTAGGATATTCATTAGGAAGATAACATCAGCACCGGCTGTATCAGTACAGGCCAGTAATGACTCCCTCCTTGGATCGACTACAAGAGTGTGTGTGTGCGTGTGTGTGTGCATGAAAACTCAACAGAACAGTCTGAGCCACCAGGTAAAGGTCTCATATTCCATACTCCATGTGAAGGTTGACAAGGGAAAGAGGGGGGATAGTGGAGTGGAGGAGTGGGAGCAGAAAGTGTTGATACACACAAAAATACACAGTTTTCTGTGTTTATCCTTAGCAACGTGGCTTAGGATGGAAGTGTCAGTCGGTCGACAGATCTTTCGGACGAACATATCTCAACTGTTGGATGTATAGCCATGAATCTTTGTACACACATTCATTGTCCCCAGATGACTTCATGGTCATCTCTTCACTTTTCTTGCAACACCACAGTGAGGTTGACATATTTGGTCTCGACAACTGTTGGCCATAACATTTGGTTTAGGCATAGCCTACCTCAAAATTAATTGTAATCACTTTGGCAATGCTTAAACCTTTAATCTAGCGCCATCATCAGGTCCACATTATAATCTGTCCCATTATTTGATCTATGACCAAATACCTGCAAAACTAATGACATTCCCATCGACCTCGGCTGTACTTTGTGTTTTGTGCTAATCAGCAAATTTTAGCATGGTGAAATTAGCATTTAGCCCCTAGCAAAGCTGTAGTACAGCCTCATAGCACTGGGTTTATACACAGAGGAGAAGGGCTAAAACTTGTAATAGCAGTCATGACTCATCGAATCAGTATCCACAGTTCAACCCCTCCATTTCTACATCCTTATTTCATAGAGCATAGTGTACACAAAAAATTAGCAATATAGTGCAATGCCTATCCTCCTCTAAAAATTGTTTAAAAGCTCATGCTGGTATGATTCATCATGCTTCATGTATCGGGAGAGAAAGCAGGTCCTCCAGGCCATAACACCTCATTTCAGATTTCTCCCCTTAACCAATCTATTTACAGTACATGAATTTAAATAAGCGTGGCTAATCTCCTTTCAACAACAAAAAAGTGAAACGCTTCCAACCGCGCCGTTCTTTGACGCAAGCTGAGCTGATTAAGAATTAAGGTTAATTAGGCCTTTTTGAAGGCAAAATAGATTTTAGTGGAATGACAGAACAGTTATGTACAGTGCCTCCATTACAGTACTAATTTTTCCCTGCGGCTGAAAGTACATGATCACTATTTAATCGGTCATTATCACTAATTCCTGAGGAGGATGCATGCCATTACATGAGTGGAGACATTAAGAGCGCAGAATTTAACTCATTTAGAGAAAGACGGAAAGGGGGATGAACAAGCAGAAATGCAAAACAGAAAGACCTTAAGTGATGAACAAGATGATTGAGGAGATGAAGGAGCGAAATGATAGAAGCTAGAGGATAACAAAATGACAGAAAATGTATTCTCCTACATAATTGCAGTCTGTAAGAAGGAGATAAGATCATATTGTTTGTTTTCTTGCTTGTTTGGCTGCCCATTCTTCTACTCTGCAACATCTCTCTGTCCAAGTAGCCCACTTGTTTATGCCTGAACATCCTGCCCAGCCAGTGCTGACCACACCCAGTGTCCAGAGACAGGGAGAGAGAGAGAGCTTTCACGGCTTATTAAGATGGAGTTATGTACCCTATGCAGAGGAGGTCCGGAGTGCAGACAAATATAGGAATGTATCCTATATGTTTCAAATATTGAGGACATTGCAAAAAAAAAACACTACACCATGACCATAACAGAAAACTTACAGTTATAGTTAGAAGTTTAACTCAATAACTACATTTTTTGTCCCAAAACAGTTAGTATGAATTCCCTTGCAGGCGTAATCATTCTAATGGTGTTATTATTTTAAATTTAAATACTTCTGATCTCACACTGCTGAGGTCTGTCAAGTTGGCACAAATATACTGACGAGTCAGACCAAGAAGAAAGGAAAAATCACATTTCAGATGATATAAAGCATAGAAAAAAAATTAATCTCAGTCTTCATTTAGACTCTCTACTCCATATTTTCCTCATTAAAGTTATTAAATGCTGTGAAACATGTGAAGTAGATCTATTACACTCTTCACTGGTAATAAAAAAGACGGATTAGAGTCTTTGTGTGAAGTGTGCTAACACTTTACTACCTGATTGCTTGAACGACAATTAATTACTTTCTGACATGGGATCTCACCTCAGGTCAGCACCTTATCTAACACAAACTTACGGAGAAAGTGTGTGTGTGTGTGTGTGTGTGTGTGTGTGTGTGTGTGTGTGTGTGTGTGTGTGTGTGTGTGTGTATTTTGGTCAATGTCAATTCCAGATGTTTCTATTTATGAGCAGATATAGCATCAGTAAAAGCTGGAATAGCCATAAAATATAATCCTCCATTGTTATGCGAGTCTATGTTTATGTGTCTAGGTTTGGCGCCTGTGAGGGGGCTTACGGTTGGCACACACTCTCACACACATTTTCTATGAGATACCTGTGTTGGCATTAGTCAATAATATCTGTCAGTATGTTCAATATATCATAATAAAATGAACTTGCTGAACCTTTAATGCATTTTATTCTACCTGTCAACATCACTTGCTACAAGCTGCACTGGTCCACTGGCCCGTCTGAAGCCGGAGAGAGCAAATACTTTCATCTACTGTAAAATAATCAAACCAAGCCCACTCGAGTGTGATTAGGTTTGCTTGGCTTGGCAGCCATCCCAAGATTGTATAAAAGCCTTCCAAAGAGGCCGAAGAAATATCAAGTAGTGTTTGACCTGCCCGTATAATATTTCACCCAATGTCAAAGAGTGCAAACTGCATAACTCACCATGAGTCTTTAGTCTCACATTGCCAAATATAATTATATCTGTGCATGTGATTTACCAGTTCAGAAGAAAAGGATGGCA